TTACTAGGGAAAGTAACTTTGGTTTTACTCAGAATTCTCTTGTTAATGTGTTGCTTCCATAACTTTGCAGTCTTCTAGCTTGCTTACTTGCCACAGTGCACTGTGCCACCTACCAATAGAAAGGAAAAGATAATGTGCATATTTCCACGAGAGAAATCCCACGCCTGGACCGTCATTGACTGCTGCCATGATTCTAGCCTACGTCACAGCGTCATGTGCGCCTTTTACATCCAACACAAAAACTGCAGTCGTGGTGCTTTCGATTGTACTCAGAACTCGGAAATTCTGCCTTCTGAATAGGAAGATGTAGGTAACACCAGACTGCAGATGAGCTGCATACAGGGCTGGACTGGGACAGAAAATTGGCCCGGGCATTTTGACTAGAGACCGGCCCACCATTATAGGAAAAATCATAAAGCCTTTGAATGAAAACAAACGCTGTTGTGACAGTGATGTACACTGTTCTGATGGTATATATGCATCAATCTATCAATCGTTTGTTGTAAGATTCAGATAATTATTTTTTAAAAGCTAGACATTTTAAATGAGAATAAGAAAGAAAAGTATTTCTTTGTGCCCCCCTCTCCCTGTTAATGCCCTACATGCCCCCCTGGCAACACTTTGCTAGACCCGCCCCTGCACAGTTACCAGCTGTCAGCTACCTAAAAAAGGATCCTGGTGTTATTTGTCTCTCAGAAACAGTTCATAACTTCCCTTCAACTCATTCATGTCACCTAAAAGGTAAACCTGTTTCTCCATCACAGCTCTGATGATCCAGTAAGGACATCTCCTGGTTTCATCTTCATGTTTCCCTCTCACCACATAACCAAACCATATCATGACCAGCAGCTTTACAGCTGTGGCTCCAGCAAACATCAGCTGATACTAGAAATTAATATTAAATAAATTCTAACAACAGCTGATCAAGCTTAAACGTGCTGCTGTTGTTTAGCGCGACATCCGCTGGTTTCCTCTTTCGGCGCAAAGTGAGCGATAAACAAACAAGAGAGCCGATCAGCTGATCATTGATCAGTTTCATGATTGAAGTAGAAACGGGAGAGGGAGGGGGGAGAATGAAAGAAGAAGAGGCAGCTGTGCAGCAAAGACACAGAATAACTCCAGCTTTGTGCCTTTTTCATTGTAGCTGAATTACGGGACAAACTGTTCCTTTTCACCTCAATAAGAAACGCGTAATATTTTCTCTGAATACCAGACGGGACGGTTGGCAACTCTAATAACTTATGAACAAAATAAAGTTCAACATCATTAACTTCATAGCACCACCCAGCTGTATAGAAACTCCGTCATGCTAGCTAGCACGCAGTACGGAAAAAGTCAGCATAACGAAAATAAACTCCACCTAAACTTGGTTCATATCTGACCCAGAGAGACTGCAGGTCATAACTTCTTACCTGAAGTTCAGTTCACACTTGGACCGGCGGCCGCCTCGGGTCTCTCCTCCTGCGTCCCCTTTCCTTCATCCACCTGCTGCCTCCACCACTTGCTAATGTTACTGAATCTGTGGAAGCTCCGCGATAGCCACCACACGAAGTAACGAGTAACGAGCCTATCTAAATCCCAGTAACGACTAACGCGTTCCTGATTTTGGCATAATAACTAGTTACCGTGCTCGTTACCACAATAATAACGTAGTTACTGTAACGCGTTACTTAATAACACACTGGTGCTAAATAACAACGACGGCTGCCTCAAGGTGCTTTATATATTTATATTATATAATCGAATATTATTATATATTATACCCTACTATAATACATACAGAGAAAACCCCAATGAGCAAGCACTTGGCGACAGTGGGAAGGAAAAACTCCCTTTTAACAGGAAGAAACCTCCGCAGAACCAGGCTCGGGAGGGGCGGGGCCATCTGCTGTGATTGGTTGGGTGAGAGAAGGAAGACAGGATAAAGACATGCTGTGGAAGAGAGACAGAGGTTAATAACAGAGATGATTCAATGCAGAGAGGTCTGTTAACACATAGTGAGTGAAGAAGAAACCCAGTGCATCATGGGAATCCCCAGCAGCCTCAGGGATTCAGTGTCACCTGATTGAGCCTGAATCCAAACTGGAAGCTGGTTCCACAGAAGAGGGGCCTGAAAACTGAAGGCTCTGCCTCCCATTCTACTTTTAAATACTCTAGGAACAACAAGTAGGCCTGCAGAGCGAGAGCGAAGTGCTCTAATAGGGTGATATGGTACTACAAGGTCATTAAGATAAGATGGGGCCTGATTATTTAAGACCTTGTATGTGAGGAGCAGGATTTTGAATTCTGGATTTAACAGGAAGCCAAAACAGGAGAAATCTGCTCTCTCTTTCTCTGAGTGCGTATCCTCGAGTCAGGCACCTCTGTTAGTCGGGTGGTCATTCGGGCATGTATTGCGATCAAGATCCTTAGTAAGAGCTACTAAGCCACACAGCTGATGAGAGTGTGGTCATGTTTTCAGCTGTTGTAGTAATGAATTACAGTCGTCCAGCTGAAGTAATAAATGCATGAACTCAGTTTAGAGTCCAGTGTGGCATTTGGGAGTTTTTAGGACTTCCTGATAATAATGAATTACAGTCGTCCAGCCTGGAAGTAATAGGCCAAGGTAATGCCATCCAGAGTAAGAATCTGGTTAGATACCATATTTCTAAGCTTTTCAGGGCCGAGTACAATAACCTCAGTTTTATCTGAATTAAGAAGCAGAAAGTTAGCGGCCATCCAGGTCTTTATGTCTTTAAGACATTCCTGCAGTTTAACTCATTGGTGTGTGTTATCTGGCTTCATGGACAGATAGAGCTGGGTGTCATCTGCATAGCAGTGTAAATGTATGCTATGTCTTCTAATGATGCTGCCTAAGGGAAGCATGTATAATGTAAACAGAATTGGTCCTAGCACTGAACCCTGTGGAACTCCATAATTAACCTCAGTGTGTGAAGAGGACTCTCCATTTACATGCTACAAACTTTGGAGTTATTTGAGTTAGATTTTGTAGTGTGGCAGTTAACGGTAATGCTATGAGCTAAACGTACTCGCTCCATTTTAAGATCTTCTCTGGTATAAACATCAGTATAGTATAATTATATACTCATCAGTTCATCAGTCTAAGTCTGCCAAGATGAATGATCCCATTTATAACCAGTAAGGTCAACAATGTTTATTAAAAAGCTGATAACAGCTGGAATCTGGTTTCCAGAGGGTTGTAGGTCCAGGTTTCCATGCAGTTCCAGCTGCTGTAATTGTGAGTGACTATTGGCTTCTCATTCTGTACAATATAGAATCCATGTAACAGTTTGTAGAAGAGTTTGGGCTGCAGGTTTTGTGCCTCCTTTGTCATCATTCTTATCCCTCAGCTATAAAAGGCTGAGTATGGTTGTCACCCTGCTGGGCAGCATGGACACTTTGACGTAACATAAGGTTTTCAAACTGATACAAAGGTGTGTCTAAAAACTTGATCTGTGTTCTGATGTCTCTCCTTGTTTCCTGAGCTTCCTTCTAGCATTGAAGTTCTAACATTTTATTAAGACAAACAACATAAGTAGTTCCAACACAGATTAAAGCTGCTGCTTCTCCACGAGGATTGGAGCCATTTGATACGGTGCAGCCACCTCACTGGTACCCTTCATATGTGAGATATTTCAGAGATGTCCAGCTGGGATGTCTCTCAATTGGGAATGCCTCGGTGTCCTATGATACGAGCTGAAGGATGTTCAGTGGGAGATGGAGGTTTGGGCATGTCTGCTCACACTGTTGCCCATGCTGGCTGCACCCTGATCATCAGCAGCACGTGGATAGAAAGATGCAGATTCTGTTTTCATTGACATATTAGTAGAAAGTTAAAGTGATCATAGCCAGAATCAGACCGGTTATGTCAAGCGACACTGCAGAGGTTCTTGTCCATGTATTTGTGTCTTCACGTATTGATTATTGTAACGCTCTCCTTTCTGGGCTTCCAAAGAAACGTTTCAGAGGTGTACAGATGGTGCAAAATGCAGCTGCTCGCATTTTAACAAGAACTGGGAAATTTGAGCACATTACCCTGTTCTGAGATCTCTGGCTACCTCGTCAGGTTCGAGCAGATTTTAAGGTCCTGCTGCTCACCTACAAGGCTTTAAACGGACTGGCACCTTCATACCTCTCCGACCTTTTACACCTTGTTCCACCCCGTGCTCCGTGTGTTGAACACATATTTGTGTACAGGTCTTAATTCTGTGGCTTTTAGTTTTAAAATTCTTACTGTTTTTAATTTGTATTGTGTTTTACTTGTACTGCTATTCATCGCTTTTATTTATTCATCTTTTTAGTTATTATTATTATTATTATTATTATAGCGACCAAGAGTTTGTAATGTTTGTGTGTGGTATCTGTTAGTAAAAAGGGACCTACTAAAGTAAATACCTGTAATTGCAACAGTGTGCAGAGCTCATACGACCACAATGAAACCCACAAACTTGACTAACATCATAGTTTCAGTGCTGACCAGCCACCACTCACTGGAATTTTATTAAACTTCTTTTTTAAAAGCTCTTAAAAGGGATCTGAATGTGTTGATATGTTGTGGCCACTAGATGTCAGTGTTTCTCTGCAGTGTGGACTGCTGTTCACTACGGTGATGCTTTGCTGCAGGTTGATGCTGATGGCGCTCTATAACGTGAGCATCAGTCTCAAAGGACTGAAGTACCTGAGTGAGAACCAAGGAATCCTCCCTCTCATCTGGAGCCTGCTTGATGGTAAGCTGCTGCATGCTCCAACAACAACAGTGTCTGCCCATCACTCACAGACACTGTGCAGACACTGTGCTCTAGCTCTAGCCTACAACCCGTCTCAAGTCTAACCTTCAATGACACTGATATAGTTAATTGAATAAACTGTCAGTGTCACAGACTGTGTATTCCAGGATCTAATTTGTGTGTCTGTAGACGGACACTGGGAGGTGTGTCTCCACTCCCTGCGTCTCCTGCAGTCCATGTTGTTAGAGGACGATGTGTTGCTCCTGTTGGGCTCCTCGCTCCTGGATCCAGACCTGTGTGCTCGCGTCAGCAGGCTCGCTGCCAGCACGCAGCCAAGCCTGAGACTGACCGCTCTGCAGACCTTGGAGGACCTCCAGGCCCTCCAACAGGTACCACAGTATGATGAACCCTGCTTCCCTGCTCTTGCAGTCATTGTGTTTACCACACTAACTCTGTCAGGACAGAAATGAGGACCTTGTATGTGTTCAGGTTAACTTCACCTGTTTTGCTTCTTTTGTTAGCATCTGAGTCTTTCACTGCTACTTTTCTTCACACCTGGTAATTTATCACATAACAGTTAGTGAAAGCACCAGTTAGTGTGTTTTGGGTTCGGCTGTTAGTCTCTGTTTTGCTGAATAGAGAAGCAACTGCACTGATGTCTCACACGGGCAGATCTAAAGTCTAAAGTGTGATTGTGCACTGCATGCAAATGTAGACACTTGTCCCTTCCTCACATCACCGTGAGATCCATCCCTGACCTTTCTGAGCACAGACTGTGACATGGTGTGTTTCCAGGGCCGGGCCTGCAAACAGAGCCGTGTGTGACGAGGGAGGACTTGAAGTGAAAGAAGAGCCTTTCTCACTGCATTGTTCACCGTTCAGCTTCTATGTATGTTCACACTGCTGTGCATTGTTAGTGCTTAAAGTGCATGTAGATCTGCATTGTTAAACCTGTCCTAGTAAAGATGTTTGCAGTGTGTCTGTGTCGTGTCAGTACAGCAGAAGCACAGGACTGAACTGCTCTGAAGGTCTTCTGCACTGATCTGTTCTCTGTGCAGTCACCTCCACGCTGCACACACTGAGCTGTATCCATGGACTAAAGGCACGAGCAGACGTCACTCACCCTCTGTATACTCTGCTAAAATCGCTTCACTGAAATCATTGTTATCTTATAGAAACTCTCTCTGTTCTTCCTGATTCATCAAAACAAAGTCTGAGCTGATAAGAAGAAGGGCAAAAGGAGTAAGACCACACAGGGGTTGCATTTTGTTAATTGTACAGCTTTATTGCTTCTTTAGTATGGACTTGAATAGTGAGCAGATATCCACTGAACAAAGCTTAGACTTCAGTACAGGATATATGTGAGACAAAGGCTTCAGAGGAAGAACATGAATGGGAGAAACCAGGGCTGGTACAGAACATGCCAGACATGTTTGTTTCAAGCTCAAAGCCTGTCAGAGGACTGCTCTGAAACACGCTGGGCCATGTGAGTGTCTCCAGATGACTTCTCTCTTTAAAAACTCCAGCGCCTCTTACTCGACTGCCTTGGCGGGCCGATTTTTGTTCTACTTTAAACAGTGATACTAATGAGTTAAGAAGTAACTATAGAAAGAGAAGCAGGGAAGACACAGATGTCCTCTAAGGAAAGGGGGAAAGAAGAATTCCGGAGTCGTCCATCCCAGTTGATGCTGGTTATTCACGGGGCTGAGCTCCTTCAGTGCCCCGGGTCACCCACCAGCACTTGGCCTCTAGGAGGAGGCGGCAGCGTTGGGCTTATCGTCACGAGTCACGGGGATGCTGCGCTCGCTGCGGCCAGACTCGCTCCCCCCGCTGACCTTTGGTCCGGTCAGAGTCAGCAGACCGTCAGCTGACAAGGTGCAGTTGATGGATGATTGGTCAACGCTAGAGGGGAGGCGGTAACGGCGATGAAACTCACGGGAGATGTAACCGTGGTCGTCCTGAAAAACAGCAGTATTGATGCCATGAAGCCGTTGTCAGTCCAGGGAAAGCTTCACTCAGCTCACTCTCACGAGAGAGCGAGCACACACTGCTTCCTGCTAACTGCTGAGGGTTTCAGCCTTCAAAGTAAGAGACCCACCCAGCTCTATTAAGACGGGTGACAAACTGAGTGGAGTTGTTGTGAGCCAGGATAAGTTAGTATTGTGTGTTAAATGTCTATTTAGTCTTTTCAGTCCAACATGACTTGTTTTTCCTCTTTTCGTTTCCACTAATAACACAAAATAAAATGATAATGTCCAGGCTAGAGGACACCTAGCTACACACCTATTACACCCCATAACAACACTGAAGGCATCTTCATGTGATCAAATACATCTTTTTACCTTTCCTACATATTACAGGGAACTTTCTCACAGTCTAACATAAACAGGTTTGTATGTCTAAGCACCGTGGTTACGTACGTACGTGTGGTTTGGTGCTACATCTCTGATCAGTGATCTGACTCGTGTTGGAAAATCCCTCAGGAAGCCTTTACGTCCTATGAGTCTAACTCACTCACTCGTGGTGTGTGCATCAGAGAGGAGGACTACCTGTCTTTCTCCATGCTTGCCCTGGATCTCCACATAGTCGTCAGCGACTTTCACACTGAGCTCATCGGGAGAGAAGTGCTTGACGTCCAAGTAGACTGTGAACTTATCCCTGTCAGATCTCACCTGAGGGAGACAGACACAGAACATCTCTTGACCTTAACTTCTGAAACTTTAGGTCAACAACTTCATTTCTTGACTCTACGTTGTATGGAGCACAGTAGATGTCAGCTTTCAGTCTAACTAAACTCAAGACAAAATACAAGTATGTATTAAACTTTTGTCTAGTTACTTTGAAAGTAATGAGTAACTTGAAGTAACTGAGTTACTTTTGAGAGAAGTAACTAGTAATGTAACTAAGTTACTATTTTAAAGTAACTTACCCAACACTGTTTAGCACTGTATAAACAAAACTGAATTGAAAATTTAATTCAATTTAACCTGAACCGCTGAAGTGCTCCCAGTGATGCTTACAAAGGAATGCAGCATAGTGGAAACACACCCTGTCACAGGCTAACTAAAAATGTGTGGCTGCCATCAAAGTCTGCACAAGCCTATTCTTAAAAAGACCCGGATGTTCTCTTGTTACTGTTTCATTCTAATAAAGTGTTTCAATGGTGTGGACCTGACTCTGATCTGTTTTCACTTACATTTCACACAGTGTGCAGACTTTTTGAAAACTATGTTGTGAATAAAGTCAGTACAGCTGACCAACACTGAGGCTCACTGATGGTTTCAAATTAAAATCTATATTACTGAATGAAAAATGTAGGAATTTTACTTTGCAAATGACTGCTTTAGAGGAAAGTAAAAGTAGGTTTGATCCTGTTATGATTCATGGATCAAACATTGTGTCACGTTCTTGTTAACTCTATTCAATCCTGATACATATTAATGACAAAGAGGTTGATCCACATACACTTTCAGTCTGGGGAAGACACCAGGCTTCATCAACTTAAGAAGTTTCATCAAAGTGTCCAGCAAGACATGCGCTGAGCTTGACAGGAAGTCCCGCCCCTGCGTTACTGCTGCTACATCTGATTGATAAGAAACAAAGAAAAGTAGTTATTCGTGTTGATGGAGGTTCTAAGAAAATGTGCTTCGACACATCCTTTCTGACTGCTAGAAGCTTCAGACTCACTAGTAATGGTCCCAGCCACTGCCAGCACAAACTGGTGCTCGTGGGAGTTGTAGTCCTCAGTTTGACTTTTCTCCTCTTCATCCAAAGACGTGACAAAGCTCTCGAGAGTCTGAGCAGCTACAGCAAGGAAGGCCTGCAGCTTCCCCTGAAGTGCGCACAAGCACACACACACAATCCAGCAGCATTAACATCTGCTGTTACAAATACTGTTAGATCATGTCTCAGTGACCAACAAAACATGGGGCCAATTTAATTTGGAGAGAGGAGAGAAGGAGCAGAGAGGATGCTCTTTTGTTTGCACTGCATAAAATTATTATGTGGAACGACCAAAACATATGGAGCCATGTTTCTTTTGCATCAAACACTTTAAACAACATATTTTATTGTTACAGCTAAAGATGTACAACACAGTGGTCAGAAGGTCATTTTGTAATTATACTGTGTTGGTTTGATCAAGCAAGTCAAACTAATTATTGTGCGTGCTGGGACAAGTTTGTTACTGTGGAAATGATTTTTGATTTTTTAAAGGCAGATATTTGTTCCGGCTGCAGCCCATTCCCAAAACACTTGTGTCTCCTACTGGGATTAAACTGGGATCTGATGTTCATGTATTGAATACTGTTTCACTTTCAGCTGTGGCTGCACTTTATACAAACGCTACTGACCACTAACATGTATCCCTGTAGCCCTGTTTGGGGTTTTTGTTACAGGAAAACAAGTCCAAGTCCACACACAGAGACAGAAAAGACTGAAGATGACTCACATCAGCCAGCCAAAGTGAGACGGTGTCCTCCTTGGCAGAGCAGCTCCACAGCAGACTGCAGGCAGCAGATCCCAGACCAGAGCAGAAGTCTGCCTGCTGCTGCAGCTCCACTCTGCTCTGCCACAGTTGCTCACGTAACAGCAGCTTTTCCTGAACATCCATTCATGTGGATTCAGTGCAGTGTCACATACAACAAGTAATAAATGACAGCATGGCTTAAAGCAAGACAAGCCCAAATTCATCAAGCAAGTCCAGTTTCCTCAGTGGGATACCAGAAATATTTTCATGTTATTGTTATGAGTCCATTTTCAAGTCTGACTGTCGCTCTCACCTCTTTCTCTTTTTGACTCTCAGTTTGCACAGCATCCAGTCGAGACTGCAGGTGCAGACACTCCTGCCTCATCTGCTCCTTCACAATCTGCTCCTTCACTAAACACACACACAGTTTGAGAGCAGATATTCTTATGTAATGTTTCTAACGCTAGTTTTGCACAACATGAAACTTTGTCAGCTTTAAGGTAGAGTTTTGGTCCCATTTTGATTATGTCATAATCTCCCAGTCCTGTAAGAGGCCGGCAACCTCTCCGGAGTATAACCGCCTCTAATTCCAACCCCTGAGACCCTAAACTGAATAAGTGGCTGAGAATCGTGATTTATGACACGCATGGTGGCGGTGAGTGTTTACCATGAGAAAGCAGAGACAGGGTTTCACTGCGGTGGTCCCGGGCTTCTGGACCTTCTATGGGTTTGTAATTCTTTTCATTTTCACAGGGACAAAACAACCAGTTAATAGTTAACAAGCCTTCTTTAGTGGGGGACACTGAGGCCTGAGCGCTTCATGGAGTGTAGCACACAGGTGAACCAGGGGGAGGACATGATATTAGGGGCCATGGAGTCTAAGCGGTGAATGGCAGTATGCAACTTAAAAGTCTGCGTCTTACACACAGCACACTGTGTGGTCTGTGTGTGCATCTCCCACAGATGTGAACTAGGTGTCATGTAGTAACAGACTTGAAGTTCCTGTAAAGGAAGAGGAAAAGGGATAGCATAGTGCTCAGAGATGGACAGGTCAATACAGGGCACATCTCAGGTCCAGTGTGGGACCTCTTAGATGATATGCTGCGTGCTGCTGGAGCAGTCTAACAGTGGCATACATTCTGCAGTAAAGGGGCAGCTGTGAGAGTCAGTATGGGTAAGGAGGCGTGTGGAGGAGGACAAGCTGGGGCTTCTGGGGGTGGTAAACAGGGTCGAGTGGGCAGAAGAATCCGAAATGCTGTCGTGCCAAAAAGTGATTTCTGATTTTTCCCTGCGTTTTTTTATGTCTCTTTGCTTAGACAAAGATATTAAAGGAAATTTAAAGAAGTTCAGGCGCCTTCTTCCAGGCTCCTTAGACCACCATGAGCTGGATGACTGAGCACCTACACAGATAATCAGACCAGTCCTTTGGGTCACTTCAAATACCTTTATAGAGCTGTCACCTTATATTTGGCGCAGTGCTAGAGCCCTCCTGAAAAGGACATTTTTAATGTCAATGACGGTTTTTACCCAGATAAATGGGTGAAAAACCTTAAGTGCAGCGTCTACCATGCAGGCAGGTCAGTGAGAAAAATAAATGACATCTCGGGGGTTTGCAGCCTCAGCACAACCTTTATCATCTCCGTGATGCATTCACGGTGGTGCTGATACTTCAGCATCTCTGCAGCGCTATCGAGGAGGAGCGCCGGGAAAAACACGCGTGTGACAGATGGAGGAAGATGTCACAAAGAGAGGAAACGAAAAACCTTACATGTGATGACTGATTCGTTTTAGACTTTTAAATCACACGTGATGTTTTGCTGAGCTGGCTTTTTGTTCGTGTTTTTCAAAGGTTGCATGGAAACAGCAGGCGGCTGGTTAGAGTACGGCGGGGTTCGTAAAGAGCGCTTCTCAGCTTTGTCGCGATGACGTCTGCGCCTGTCAGAGGACATCAAGGAGCATGCTCAGTGTCACGAGAGATTTGATGACATCATCATCCAGGAGCGAGGTGATGGCAGAGATCCAGCAGAGCCGACGGGACATATTTCATGGTCGCCATGTCGGAGCACAAGCAGCTAGTTAGCAAGTTAGCCTCTGTGCCAGAGCCAGAGAGACGGGGAGCACCACCCTAGAGCCAGGCGGAGGCCAGGATGCTGGCAGATCGGGCTGCTCTCAGAAGAATGGTCCAGTGGAAAGCAGCGGGGGTGACAAACAGCCGGACACAGCAGCAGGTGAGGACACCAGGCACCTAACAGCACCCAAGATACTGTCTCCATGTCTTTAGGAGAATTTGTGGAAATACCACATATTTACTAGTTTGACAGGCAGGAAATACTATTTTTGTACCCCCACCCCAAACTGCTGAGAGCTGGGAACCTGGCATAGCTCGGCGTGGTGTGCAATGTCTTTCAAAAAAAAGACACGACCCAATTCTTCTTATATTACCACAACATACTGTGGTGAGACAACATCCTTCGTGAATAGCAGTGCTATATGCCTGGGCAGGTCATGGTAACCTAAGGAGCTTGGAAAGTAAAGCAACTGGACTTCTTTAAGGTTCTTGAAGATGTTTGAAGAAACTGGTGGAGAGTCCCAGGTGGCTCACAATACCAGTTGTCTGCCACCTACAATCCAGTTTGGAGATCCCTTCCCAGGCACCTTAACAACCACTCACATCTTGCCAGTTGACCTCAACAGGTCAGGTGAATTGGTGAAGCAAGGTCTCACAATGGTCTCACCCGAAACCTCTGCTGATAATGACCCACACCCTTTTTCACACCTTGACTCATGTGGTGAGACACATGATCAGCAGTGGGTCAACTCCCACTAGGGTTGGAATACCGGGGACTCTCTTAGAACCGAAGAAGCTTCTCGGATGAGAGGTGAAATGTCTTCAAGAAACTTAAAGTCCAGATGCTTTTCTTTCCAAGCTTCTTAGATCAACAGTGCTGTATATTTACTGGGTCAGGCCCAGGTCAGGGTAGAAGATAAAATGAGGCTAATGAGAAAGCAGGTGCACCTGGCTTTCCTTATCACCTGTGAGGGCTGTTAAACAGACCTGGCTCCACTGACCATTAGACAACTCTGTCTCTCTGTAGCTGGATGTCTTCAACAAGCCTTCAGGTTTATACATTAAGTGTATATGTTCTGCTCTGTGATACACACAACACCCTCGTGTTTACAGCAGGATCAGAGTGGAGTTGAGCATACTTGTCTGAGCTGCTCGGGCTTTATGCAGCATCTCCATCAGATCCCCATTCACAACTCTGGGCAGGAACTCTCTAAGCTGCATGACTTCTGTGGTCAACTTCTCTAAATCTCTCTTCCTCACTCGGATAAAGCCACCCTGGAAGAAAAAAAGATAGAAAAAGACTGCATCCTTCTTTGCCACAGATTCACTCATTTAATTGTGCTTTTTTAGATTCTAAGTAATCCATAGACAGACAAGGAAACTATTAAATATGCACTCAAGACCAGGCAGAGTGTGATAAGGGCTCAGTGTAAACTGCTATCACAATGAAGCATGTCTGTAGGATGGCCTAGAAATAAGCAATGGGGACAAATGAATAGAAAACACAGAAGGAAAGTCTTAGGTATGTGTTGGCCGACCATGTTCTGCAATATCAGCTTCAGTGCACTGATTCTCCGAGTTTTAAATCATCACCATCATTTAAGAGGTCTCTGCTGAGTTACTGGTTTAACTTAATTAAGTTCAGACAGACTTTACAGTGTCTCCAGAACAGAGACACTTCCTGTAGTTTCTTCATTGAAATTATGCACAGCCCACATTTTTAGTTTTATAATGTAAGTCTACAGTGTCATCTCAGGGTTTGAGCACACAGGCTAAAGATGGCTCTGTCACTCAGATAGTTGTATTTGAATTAAAACAAGGTTAAAGGTTTAGCTGCTGGCTTGAAAAAGTCCCACTTTTATTAGCCAGGTACGCGTTTTAACTCTACTTGTAGTAACCACTATCACAGATTCATCGAACACTGAGAGGCCCAGTCTTTGGACTCCAGCCGGTCTGACGAGGACAAAGCTAAAGATGCCGTCTTTGTTCTCCTGATTAGCAGGAACAGCAGGCAGGTTCGTCCGGGGCTGGCTGGGTGTCTTACCTTTGCCTTTTGGCTCGTCTTTTTCCCGCCTGATAAGGCTGCCATGTTACTGCTGGTTGGTGAGTCTGCTTCTGTGGTCACAGAGACCAGCACTCAGTTTATTACACAGCTAGCAAAGCTAGCACGTTAGCTAAGAAATGTTTCTGAATCCACAGACAGAGGTTTGAGTTGTTTAGTGCCACATCACCAATGTTTTTGAATATATTGGACACATAAAGATGCTCACCAGTGGTGTGAGTCAAAGGCCTGAGGACCTGTTCCTGGCCGCTTTTTAGCGCAGACCGCCCCAAACACACGGGATGTAGCTGTGAGGCGGGCTCCAGTCCGGGTTTTACGGCCTGCGAGAGAGCTGGGCTCTTCCTTTGTGTTTGAACTTCTTCAGTGTGCTCCGTGGGACCGGTGCGGTGGAGACAAGCGCTTCCGTTTGCCCTCTCTCAGCTCACTCATGTCTGGGGGACTAGAAGCCCGCTTCTCCGGGGATGACGTGTTTGTGAGCCGCTTCCCAGTGCACCGCGCCTGCCGGGATGGAGATGTTGGGGCTCTGGTCCTTCTGTTACAGCAGCTGTCAAACCACATCCATCTAACTGCCGAGGACTCCTTCTATGGATGGACTCCCATTCACTGGGCTGCTCACTATGGACAGGTCAGCATGCAATCACTGGGTATTCAATAGTGGTGTCCATGAAACACGAAAGAGGGTTAAAATAGGTGTGCACTTTTGCCTGCTGCTGTGAACTGTAACCACACTGTGTGTATTATATGTTTAAACTCCAACATGGCGGCGGACAGCGCTCATAATCAAGCTAAAAGATTTTTTCCTCTTTAATATTTCGCCGCGCTCCTTTACTGTGTTTGATTGGCCCAAACAGTTATGTCTGAGTACCGGCGTACAACAAAGGTTTTTTAAAGACAAAAAAAAAACTTGACGTGTTTGGAGGTTTTCATTGGTTCAGTAGGAGCCAATCGCTTTTTAGGCGCCAAAATCGGCTCAAAACAAACACCAGAGCCTGCGACACCGCAACAGCCGCTGTTCTCTAGAAATATAAAAACTTGCTCTCTGTTTTTATTTTTATTTTATTAGATGATTAATTACTTCTCGTACGATTCTGATCTCCTTCATTTTATATCACTGTCTTTACCAAAGCTCTGCTAGAAGCATCTCTTCAGCCACCTTGAAATATCTCCAAACACTTACTGGGCACATGTTTTAAGCAGTGTCTGGATGTACTTACACTTTTTGCTTATACGTCCCTGTAAGCGGACCTTAGGTGGGATTTTTAAATATGTCTAACAACCAAAGTCAGCTGAAGCCTGCTTTGAGAACAGTGGGGTCCATGCTGTACAATACTCAGGTGATATAAAAGGAGAACTGTTGGAGATTTCTTACAATGAAAGTGCGTCAGTGCAGAGGTCTCCTCTGAGATCTGCAGCAGTGACATACATGAGCAGTGTGTCACTGTGATTCTTGTATTTGTTACTGGCATGTGGCACAGCTGGAGTGCGTGATGCACCTGGTGGAGATGGGCTGCGAGGTGAACAGGGTGACCAGCCGATTCAATCAGACTCCAACACACACTGCAGCATTCGGAGGACATCCTCACTGCGTGGTGTGGCTCACTCAGGCTGGGGCTGACGTCAACAAGCAGGTCAGTGTGTGGAAACTCACCTATTGTGTACTATTTAATGCTTAATGTGGTGCTGTTTGCATCTATGAGTGTTATCACTGAATATTTGAATCTAGGGACCTCTGGTTTATGCATCTGCTGTACATAAGTTAGATGAAGTTCATTTTATTGACAGTGTCTCCAGCGTTGTTCACACTAAATATGTACTTGTAGTCATGGTAAGGTTTTGGGACTGAACTTGTACTTGCAGCAAAGCTGAAAAGATCATTAGAAATGGATGCAGAGTTCACAGTGCCAGCAGTACTCATGAACCCGAGCTCTTCCATCAGTGGCCCAGGCGTGGGCCGACAGGGCAGGAGCTTTCACTGCTGCTGGTCACCTTTTATTTCAAAAGAGCAGTGCACAATAATCTGAGCAGTGTCACCACAGCTGCAGTCCTGTGACTGTGAACATTTTCATATTATGATATTGTCTCCTAGACTTCGATTGGTCAGTAATATTAGTGTCATTTTTGCATGTCTATAACACAGTTGGCTTGTGCTATTCTAACAGCTTCATTCATATCTCAAACCTTACAGTTTACGTTGTGTTTTCAGGACTTTGTTGGTGAGGCTCCCATTCATAAGGCAGCTCGGTCAGGTAGCTTGGAGTGTATCCAGGTCCTTTTGATAGCAGGCGCTAAACCGCAGTAAGTATCCTGCAGTCTTCGGTTTAGTAGTAATATCCAGTGTAAAGCACCACAGAAGCTCTGGCACACAGAGTGTGAACCACAGCAGCTGCTACACGTCTTAGATTTGAGTCATGTAGGCCACACATGCTCAGCAGGTCTGGTCAGAATAACTACAGCTTTTATTTTTACTGTGAAATTTACTTTAGTGGGAAATCCTGCAGCTCAGTGCTGTGCTTCAGATATCCCGCCTGAGGTAAACCCAGAGGATGATGATGAAGGGGCATCAGCCAGCATAATTTCTGCTGACTTGTTTTTGTTTTCCTGATTAACAGGCTGCGTTTGGCGTTCTTTAGAGCTGCGTGTTTCCTCATGCTAACAAAGATCAGCTGCTGTGGTTCTGCCGTGTTTTCTGTTGTCCTGAAATCTTATGCTTAGTGTCTCATCAGCTGTTGGGAGGGAACAAGCCACAGTGGTCTACTGTTAACATCCTCGCAATCATTTTCCATCTGTCATCACCAAGATGAAGATGTAGTGAAGTTCTGGTACAAACAGGTGACATGAAATAGTCTCAAGATCCTTGATTCAAAATAAAGTAATTGTCCTTAACTGTCCATAAGGAAGTTACAGCAGAAAATCCATTCGGTGTAGTAAATAATGGCCTCAGGTTCTATTAATACTTAACTTAGTGAGAACATAATGATAAAGACCAGTTAAAATCTGTGCCAAAGCTTGCTTTATTGGACAAATCCAACTCATAAAGCCATATGTTTCACAAATCTTTGAACTGAGATAATCTATCACTTTAAGAAAAATACGAGCTAATTTTGGGTGTGACGGCAGCAACACCTCACAAAGAGTTGGGATGTTGGATTGGAGCGATCAGAGGTTCAAAGCAGAAACAGCTGGAGGAAGAATTTACAGTTAATCAGCTGGTAACAGGGAGGGACACGTTCAAAGAGGCGAGTTCCTCAGAAGTAAAGGTGGACAGAGTCCATCAGTCTGCAGAAAACTGCAGGTTCAGAATAATGTTCCTCACTGTGAACATGTCATCACGGACAGTAATGATGGAGCTGATTCACAGCTCTGCGTGTCATCCACACATGCAGGATAAAGAGAGAAGAAGCCAGATGTGGAGTGGGGTTGCATCAGTGCCTGTGGACGGCCTTTCCAGATATGCAGCTGGCACATCTGGAAAGGCTCCATCAGTGTGTGAAAGTACATACAGGTTTTAGAGCTGTAGAGGTGTTCCATCCACGTGTTTCAGGGAAGCAGACGGCATCTGCTCCAGCATCATGGCTCATTGTAGAGGAGTCCGTCTGCAGAGCTGGCCTGCCTGCAGCCCAAACTGTTCACCAACTGAGAACATCTAGTGTGTCATGAAAGCAGAGCCAGGACTGACCAGAGTGGGACACCGGTCCTCTCCCAAACGTGCAGCAGCCGCTCTCCTCAGCTCACACGTGTTTACAGACTGTAGTTAAAAGAAGGCAGGAGGCTGCACAGTGATGAACGTGGCCCTGTCCACCTTTGTTGCTGCCAGCACATTCATAATGACCTTACTGTTTCTCAGACGGTTCATTTTAGTTTAAAAAATGTTTTCTGTGACTCAGAGTTTACGACGTTCTGCGTCGTACAAAGTGTCCCACTATTAAAACGTGTTTCAGTGGCCGTTCCCTCCAGTCAGCTCATTTGAGTGCCATTTGCTTTAAAGAATGATAGTAATGTTGTGTGTGTTGTGTTTTGTTCAGCAGCGGCTCAGGTAAAAATCCTCTGGCATGTTTGTCATGATGCACAGCAGAGAAAAGTAGTGAGTGTAAAAGCAGAAAAGCTCATGTTTTTATGCCTGCATGTGCCACAGCAACAGCAGTTGAACATGTAAATATGCTGTGCTGTAATATAAATGGAGACAGTTACACCACCTGAGACTCCATAATAAGAGGAAAACACAAGAACAGTGATCAGACTGTGGCCTTTGTCTTTGCTTTCTCCTGAAAACTACACTCATTTATCATTTAGGCTTTTACCTTAACCTACTGTTGTAATGAAAGCAGAAAGTTCTCAAGAGACCGTTAATAAAATATTTAATAAAAATGATAAAGTAGCTGGGGCAGTAAAGCAAGGAAACATGGCTCTCCATTTACTGAGCAAAAATATTGAGAGACTGTTTAGTCCATCGGTGTCAATACCTGTAGACCATTTTTAAAATTATTTTTTATTAAATATTTAGTCTCAGAAATGTTCTGCTTTTATTGAGTTCTTCCTTTTGATCTCTTTTCTGATGACCCACTGATGGGACGGGATTCTTGACCAACACAGAGCGCCTACAGGGGGCGCTGTAGCGTTCTGTGTTGAAGTCTGGCTGCTGTGAATGTTTTAAATGGAGAGAGGAGCTGCACCTGTCAGTACCAGCAGAGTTTCTGATCTCACTCACTGAGCTCTGCAGTGCGTGATCCTGTCAGCTCGGCTGCTTTTCCTTCTCAGCTCCCACTAGATGACACTGAGCTTCCAGGCTGGACGACTGTATTCCAGGAAGTCCTAAAAACTCCCTGAAAAGCCTTCAGCTGATCCAAAATGCTGCAGTAAGAGTCCTGGCAGGGACTAGAAGGAGAGAGCAGATTTCTCCTGTATTGGCTTCCTGTTAAACCCAGAATTCAAAATCCTGCTCGTCTAAATAAAACTGAAAATGAGAGCAACAGCAACCTCTGCACTCACGTTATGGTGGTTACAACCTGACGCAGCTGCTCTCTGTGTGTTACTCTCACTTTGTGGATTTGGTCTAACACCGTAGCGTGCTTGACCCCACTTCCTCAACCTCTTCTCTATATCTGCCTTACCAGCCGGTGAGACAGATGGAGCGCGGCTGAGGACGACTGACGAGTAGTGACTGATTTCATTCTCATGCAAAGAGTTTTTTTGATGGTTTGAATGAATTTTATTAGGCCAGTTTCCAGGGAAACCATTAACTGTCTAATGACTTGAATGTCCTGTAGAAATAATACGACTACTTTACAGAATCCTTGACAAAACTGATACAGATAGAAATGTTTCTGCTGTTGTTAGCAACTGTAAACTGATTCATGCGTCCACTAACCTTCCAAATAACCACTGAACACAGTATTATTAATGTATTTAATACTCACTTGAATGTCTTTGTAACTTTTCCCAAGAGAAATCAGAGCTTTGAGACTCAAACGTGAGTACTCACATGAGCTTTTCTGCTCAAGGCATTTGTACACTCGTTGACGGACATTTTAACTGTTTTGAAATTAATATAAAGATGTGTTTTTGCAAAATGTTATATATTATGTTAAAAAAACAAACAGCTGTGATCTTGATTGTCAAATTGTGCTGGCAGAAACAAACACCCTGCACGTTGTGATGTTTTTCAGCCTTTGAGTTTGAACTTGATTTTCTGAAGTTGTCCCAGAAAGAGGGAGCAATCCAAATAGGCACTGCAGAATCTGCCACACGTGCATCTGCGAGCAGCTTGCAGTTGTGCCACTGAGTGCTCACTATCGCTTCCCACAGTTTCTGCAGCTGGCAAGCTGGCGAGGTATTTCCTGCAGTGATTGGTTTCAATGCTAACAAAGCACTCACGATGACTGTCATGTTTAGGCATGCATGCTTAGCTCTCACCTCACTGTTTACATACTGTGTGCTAATGGGACACGCCTCAGCCTCACTAATGATTGGAAGCTTAGTCTCAGGAGTACGTCAGAGTGCAGCGCTGTGCAGCGCTGTGCTGTGCAGCGCTGTGCAGCGCTGTGCTGTGCTGTGCTGTGCTGTGCTGTGCAGCGCTGTGCTGTGCTGTGCTGTGCTGTGCTGTGCTGTGCTGTGCAGCGCTGTGCTGTGCAGCGCTGCACAGCACAGCACAGCACAGCGCTGCACAGCACAGCGCTGCACAGCACAGCACAGCGCTGCACAGCACAGCACAGCGCTGCACAGCACAGCACAGCACTGCACAGCACAGCACAGCGCTGCACAGCACAGCGCTGCACAGCACAGCACAGCGCTGCACAGCACAGCACAGCCTGCACAGCACAGCACTGCACAGCACAGCACAGCGCTGCACAGCACAGCGCTGCACAGCACAGCACACTGCACAGCACAGCGCGCACAGCACAGCACTGCACAGCACTGCACAGCACAGCACAGCACAGCACTGCACAGCACAGCACAGCACAGCACTGCACAGCACAGCACTGCACAGCACAGCACAGCACTGCACAGCACAGCACAGCACAGCACAGCGCAGCGCTGTGCTGTGCAGCGCTGTGCTGTGCAGCGCTGTGCTGTGCTGTGCTGTGCAGCGCTGTGCTGTGCAGCGCTGTGCTGTGCAGCGCTGTGCAGTACTGTATGTTACAAAGACAACGGAGCAAATTGGACAGAAAAAATAGATTTATGTCAGAATTCGCAGCAGGTAAACATACCTGTAAAATGAAATGTCTATTTTTGTAGGTTTTTAACCAAATTACATCTGCACTCACTGGCCACTTTATTAGGTACTCCAGAGGAAAGAAAAGCTTAGACTTGATCTCAGCACGTTTGAGAGGTTATGTGGAAACATCTGTGGATAATCAGAACTTGATCTGTGGTTTTCTACAAAGCACAGCTCATTTCCTAACGATGACTCACTTCTCCTTCTGTTCAGGCCTTTCTAACCCAAACCACCCCAGCATTACAGAACAGAAGCTTCAGCGCTGTGAGCTTACTTTAGAACATAATCGAAGCTTAGAAATCACAAAAGCATGATCGTTTTCATGACAGCACAGATGTACTGTGTAGGATATAGGAGCAAAATGTTGGCGATTCCTGTGTCCTGATTGGTCCTCCAGTTTCAACCTGATGTTGTTCTTTTTCATTTAGGACCATGCATAGACCACATCTCAGACGGTTAGAATATTAGGGGAAACCGCCTCTGTTCTTCATCATTTCATTCAAGAACCTAAACTTTCATATCTTCTACACTCCTTGTATCCATTCTCAGCCGAGCCGAATGTTCACAGTGGTGCAGACGCTGCTCAGCATCACCCATCAAAGTGAAAAAGTGCAGCGGAAGATCAGTCAGAAAAGTCCAGCTTCATTTATACGTGGCTGAGACTTCACGAGTGTGGAGTGGAGGTGCTACTGCTCTCCAGGTTGCTCTGATGGCCTTTCTGGGTTTTTGGGTCGGCTGGTTCTTGTTTTCCTCTTCACATAATCTCTATAGCTCAGGTCAGGTGAGTCGGCTGCACATCACTCGCTGGGCCCACGTCCTCATTTTAGGTTTGACAGCGTTTTAGCAGGTAAAGGTGATGCTTGGACATGAACTGAGCTGCGGTTTGGGGAAGGCCTCGAAGGGGACTGGTGACGGCTCCCGGTCCTGGCAGATCCCCGTGTACTAAATAGAAGTGAAGAAGTTAAGGAATTGAGAACAAGGAGGGAGGGAGGGCAGGTAAAGGAGAATGAACAGTTTGCAGAACTGGGGGAACCTCTGTAGATGACAACCAGAACGAGCGTGTTTGGAGGCGTGGTCCCACTCCTGAAATTCCGAAACATGATGTCGATAAATGAGTGTCTTCACAAAGCTAATGAGAGAAGCATGAAGAGCTCCAACGTCTGCTGGTAGATGTCTGTGTTGACTTTGGAGCAGCACCAGGAGGTGACATGTGAGCAGGGCTCTCAAACTATTGACGTGAAGAAATATAATGCAACTTGGCATTGGAAATGTTTGTTGTTGTTCTTCTGTGCTACTTGAACACTAGCGTGAGATGGCAGTGGCCCACAGCTCATTTCAGTTTGAAAAGAAGACTCTGGACCTTCTCCTCCTCCTGAGATGCGCTGCTCTGTTATCTCTGGTTCAGGCTTGATCTGACCTCAGCCCACTCCTGTCAGGCTCTCCCAGGTTCTTGAGATGACTTTTCTTGACACTGATTTCGAGGCTGAGGTCATGTCTGCTGCACCTTTTCCTGCCGTGCTTTTCCCTTCCGGTCCACTTCCATGGAGATGCTCCAGTACTGCTGTGAGCAGCCTTCTGTGGCTGCTCATGGATCCTTCTCAAACGTGACGTCAGCAGTCAGACGGTGTGCGTCCTCGAGACTGTCTGAACCGTAACTTCCTCAAACTCGAAATATTCTAATAATCTGAGATGCTGGAGTGCAAATTTTATGATCCAGCATCAGAATGAAAACAAACAGGTTGAAATGTTTCATTTTGCATGAAATGAATGTAGAATATTAACAATACAAAACGAACTTTATTGATAATATCCAGATTGTATTATATCCAGTTTTGGGAGGCATGCACACGGCTTTCACATCTGCGTGATAGACAGGAAAATAAACAGTTTGAAACACGGCCTGTCGTCTTTAGCTGAAACGTGGCGGTGATCGCGGTCCTGCTGTGTGTGAGTGGGCAGGTTAGTCACAGCACGTGTTGCAGGGTGAGACCATCAAGACTCGGACTGGTTTTCTTCGATCGTGATGGTTTCTTCTTGCAACATTAGAGCTCTGATGGTTTGAGGTGCTGTTACCCAGAATGCACTTTGTCTGACTTCATTCTTATTGTTTAGTTTAGAGAATGCAAGCGGGCAGACGGCAGCAGACCTGGCCCACGCTCAAGGCTTCCACGACTGTTTCTGCTTCATCTCCAACGCCCAGAAGCACCTGCAGCAGCGTAACGAGGGCAACGTAGTGCAGAATGGAGGCGGCGCCCCCTGTGGTCTGGGCGCGCTCAGCAGAAAGAGGCAGCTAGCCGCCCTGGACGCGGGCCACCTGAAAAAAGCCAAAAGGGCTGATGGTAAGAAATGTTTACGTGTCAGGCGTGTGCGCGGTGCTTGCTTGCTTGCTTTTCTCATCGTGCTGTGCTGCAGGTATGCTGGTGCAGAGCAGCGCGCTCGAGGAGCTGGAAGCCATGAGCCTGGAGCTCAGCGCAGGTGGGTTTGCTCTGCGTGGCAAAGCAGCAAATGGCTACAACAATATCACATGATCCACCTCTGATCCCATTTTCTCTGCTGCTGTGTTTAAAAGCAGATTTCAACAACGGGCATCTCCACGCTGCGCCTCCTCCGCTCTCTCCAAACTCTCACTCTCCGCCACGTTGTCGGCGGGCTTCAGCCGAGATGTGCGGCTCGCTGCACCTGAGCAGCAGCCCGGGCGGCTGCGTCTCCAACTGGCCCGCGTGCCTGGGGCCAACCGGGGTGGACTGTGGGGATTTCTTGCATTATGGACACTACCATGGCTTTGGCGACACGGCCGAGGAGCTGAGTGACAGCAGCTGCATCCGGGCGGAGCATCCATCCAAGCAGGCTGTGGATGGCAGCATCCACCTATACCACGGCTCATAAACCGGAGGCTTCGTCTGCAGGCAGATGTGCTTCCACTAAACTTTAAAGGATTACTCTGGCGATGAGAAGTAATCCTCCTGTGCCCACAGCCAGGACGAGTCAGGCTCACACTGACTCAGCTGGGTGGTGAAAAAGCTGCTTCCAAAAATAATCTTCAGGGATGGATTTCTGTGACATCACACTGTAGGGCAACACTATTCTCATAACTCGAGTTAACTTGGTTCTCTTGGTTTAATCAGCAGCGTCTCTGCAGCCCTGTCCTCACAGTGGCCTTTCAACCACGGACAGCTGGTGGGAATACTTCACTCGTCTTTGTGCTACGCTGGTTCAGAGCATTAGCAGTAGCACGGTGCTGTGTGGGTGTGGAACTCGTCCCGTCTGCTGGGGCCTTCGTTAACCGAGGTGTTTACTGCTCTGGGCTCAGGAGTGACCTCCTGCTCACCGTGTTACCTCAGGAGTGTCGCTGAACTGCACTGCGGCTGAAAACTGTTTTCGATCTCACTGTAATTTCATGAGGCTTAAACCAGTTCTTGTGTTTTGTACGACGGTTGTAGAGGCGCCGTTTTTCTGAACACTGTCACACACGACCTTACACTGACCTGCATTTGTACTCAATAAAACCTGTTTTACATATAAAACAGTATTTGTGCATGTTTTGATTTTTATCACAAATACATTTATAGTTTAAACATGTTTGAGTTAAATGTCAGACGGTTTTCTACAAGGTGACATCAGGCCGCCTGACGAGAAACCCAAAGACTGCCTGGACTCAGAGATGACGTCACTACGTGGGACAGAGCGTCGCTGTGACACCAGCCTGCGCTCTAGCTGTGTATAAAGAGCTGTGCTCCACATTCGTGGACGACACCGTGCACTCAAACTTGTGGCTGCTGGATTTATTTTGCCCGTCTACATTTATATTGACCCCAGAGATAATGCACCTGCACAGCCTCTGGGATCATCTCAATACTTTCCCTTCAGTCCAGGTTTTTTCTCTCAGGAGTTTGAGTGTCCCGGCCGCCAGAACGAAGGATCATTTTTGGTGTATGTTCTGTATGTTATGACTTGTTAGAAAGTTGTACACCTCCACGAGCAGCAGAACAAAGCAGTGTCTGTCCATGAAGACATTCATAAAAACATTTTTATTCCCAATCTTAAACAACACTTTACAGAACAGTTCATCAGCACGGCCCAAACATGCATGAACACAAAGACCAGCACGGTCACCTCCTCAGGTCCAGCTTAATAGTCTTCTGCAGACTGGCTATGCTAGCGTCCAAAGCTGCCAGGCCGTCTCTGAACGCTGCTTCGTCTCTGGTGTCAAAGGTCAAATCAGACCACACAGACTCCGTTTCACTCTGGGACAGCGTGGAGTTAAACAGCTGCCTGCGAGCGTCCTCTGGCCGCAGGGCTTCACCTGGACCAGCGGACCGCTCACGATCAGACTCGTGCCGAGTCCCTGCACGATCTTCTCTCCTCTGAGCTGTGACGTCTAGATGTGCCGAGTCTGAATCTCTCTCTGCATCCACACACTGCACAGGCGCTATCTGGCTAAGAGACTTCAGGTATTGGGCGATGTGGTCAGTAGGGGGCGCTGGCATCCGTCTGTGCTGGTGTTGGCTCGTCTCTGACACAGAGCTGTCAACAACATGATCTGCTGAGAGGAGACTGAAGCAGAAGACGACATGAGTGAGGAACAGTTCTGAATCGTGTCACTTTCATGTATTAACAGCATTGTTAAAGCAGCTGTAGGGCTCATTCTGGGGGGTGACGCCCAGCCACACAGGCCCACCTGTGGAGGTGCTCCATCTCCTTCAGCCTTTGCTGTGCCAGCGAGGCCAGCTTACTCCTCTCCCGCTCACTGTCCAGTAACCTACTCTTACTGGCCTCCAGCTCTGCGCGCGCGCAGACACACACACACACACACACACACGCACGCACACACACACGATGTTGTTCATGGCAGTGTCTTTCACTTTGATAATGGAGGAGATTTCATCACAAAGAGCCCACAGCTCAGATCATCAGCAGGACACTGCGAGTGCGTACCCATCTTAACGAGTGCAGTTTCAGCCTCTCGGTCTCTCAGCTGGCTCTGTGTGTCCTGCAGGGTTTGCCGTAGGTCCGTCAGGTCATCTTGGAGTTCCTGCAGCCTGGACTGAGCAGCAGTGAGCTCTTCCTGAAGTCTCTGCCCTGTGGAGACCTTTTCAATTACTCCCCAGTCAGTTAAAGCTTTTTACCGTGACTGAGCACACCAAACTGAACCCAACAGTAAAATCACAGCGTGTCTGTTGTTGGGTCTTTACCTTAGTGTGGCGCAGCTCGAGCTGACTGTGTTATTTTAATACAAATGAAATAAATACACAACTATTTATGACTGTCACACAATTTACAGTTACAGAGCATCGCCTGGTTCTGATGTCTCTCCGTCTCTGGCTGCTGGTCCAGGTTCCTCACACACCTAGGACACACACACACACACACACACACACACACACGTTATACCAAAAACGTCAGAGTCCAGTGAAGTGAAGGACGTCGTGTGTCTCACCTGTGCAGGTCTGACACACTCTGGGTGTTTGAAGCACTATTATTCATCTGTGCTGTGGACACCGTCTGCTCCAGATGACTGAGTAGGCTCTCTGCTACACTGCCTGACACACACACACAAACACACACACACTGTGACATCTCTAACATCGTCAGCACGTGTGACACAGAGGCTCACGTCCTGTGTGTGGCTACAGCAGAAGTCCACGTCAGCAGAACTTTGCTGAGCTCCCACATCAGTGACATGTAGCTTAGTGTTGGATGCATTCAGGAGGTTGTGTTTGTGTGAGTGATGTCTGGCAGGGTCCAGGGGTGAGATGCACACAGTCACTTTACCTTGTCCAGCAATCAGAGCCTTGAGTTGTGCGAACAGATGCTGAAGCTTGTGAGCTTTTGTCTGTGCCTCAGTGTTGCTCTCCTCAGCTTGTCCAGGCTCCAGCTGGAAGTGTGCCATCTTCATACTGCAGCTGTCTCCGTGTGCATGTGTGAGTGTGTGTGTGCTGGGACTCTGGGTGTGCGTGTCTCTCACAGGAACAAACTCTTGTGCTTCATCACACGCAGTGCGAGGCGTCTCAGAGTCAGGCCGGCAGGCAGTCCGATGGCTCGAGAGAGAGGAGGACTGACGCACAGACAGAAGGACGGACGCCTCGTGCCGGGGCGGACTGACGGTGCGAGGAAGAAGCCGAGGTGAAAGTAAGTGAGACTGCAGCTGGGTGGGACATGGTTTCTGAGGTGGATGTAGCTTCACTCCTGAATGTGGTGCAGGACGGGCAGACGGGTGTCCTCGTGGAGTTCTGCCGTCCGATCCATGCTGGCCTGACGCGCTCTTCTGGCCTGGAAGGTGGAGGAATGATTAGCATTAGACTTTCTACACGTGTTTTCTCACATATTTATAAAGCATGCATCAGCCAATCAGTTTGTTGGTGCTCATGTCCTGATTGATTGTTAGTGATTGATTAAAAGAACGAGCTTCCTCCAAAGGGTGGCCGGGCTCTCCTCTAGTGTGAGAGTAGAATTTCAGTCGTTCAGGAGGGACTCGCAGTGGAACTGCTACAGTTCCACACCAAAGGGAGGAACCTGATTATGATGCCTCCTGGGTGTTTGGGCATGTCCCACGAGAAGGCGGCCCTGGCACATCACACACTGGAAAGACGACATCTCTAAGCTGGCCTGGAAATGTCTTAGTGTTCCCCCAGATGAGCTGCAGGAGGTGGCTGGGGAGGGACGTCGGGGGTCCGTTCTTAGTCTCTGCCCCATGTGACCAACAGGACATGGATGGTTCAGCTCTACTATTGAGAGGCTCCTAGAGGCGGCTCTAAGCAACTGTTGCTAAGTTATAAGCCTTGAATCCATTTTCCAGAACAAATGAACAAAAGTCCTAAAAGCTTTTGGTCACCATCAATGTAATCCTGTCCTCTGCAGTTTATAGTCCCACAGTGGAATTAACACGAGAGCTTTATGTCATTTAGTTCTCAGCGACTGTCTTGTAAGAGTGTGCAGTAAAGCAAACCTCGAACACGCCCACCTGCCTTTGGAGGCCCTTTCTTCAAGCTCTTTTTCCCCGTTGATGTGGAAAGCCTTGGTTTGGCTGCTGCACTGCGAAGCCTCGGAGACACTTACACACACACAGAGTACTATTATGTTGCATTCAACCAGTAAGTGTTGGACAGATCTAACTTATACAGAAAATCCTCAGTGTAACCACACAGGAACAGGTTGATACTTTAAGCTTTTGTACTGTGACTTGTAACAAACGGAGCTGATCTACAGCATTAGGAAGCTCCTCTGACCTGCCTTATCAGCCTGAAGGATCCCACTGAGCAGGGCAGCACAGCGGTCCAGGCCCTTGTGCAGACTGATGACCTGGGGGCAGACACGTCCGGTTTATTGACATGTGTTCAGACACCGAGCCGCTGATGCGGTAGTGTGGGTTAGTGGTTTGTCTGTCAAGCCTTCGGACTTTGTGGAAGTGCTAGATTTCCTCTGTTCACCTCCCCATGTTTGCTACCCTGAGGTGTGTGTTGTGGCAAAGACTCGGTCATGCCTGGATGTGATACCGGTCCGAGATGACACTGTTAATATTTAGTACTGCTACACAACCAAGTGAATAAATCCTGAGAACTCATAATAAAAGTGTTAGCTTCACATGTCGCCACCCGTGGTCTGCTAATGTGGGCGGAGCGTGAACGGTCTCATCACCTGGCCCTCGGAGTCGGTGGAGTACAGGGAGTAGGCGGGCTCAGGGCAGGCAGCTGTTCCTGGATCTAAGCTGGCTCTGAAAACAACAGTGAGGAGAGCGCTAACAGGCACACGTACACATGCAGCCACAGAAAACGCTACATGAAGGCGGGTGTACTCACAGACCCCCTCTGGATGCTCCCGTCAGCCTTCCTGACGTCACCACCTGCCGGCACAGAAACCACGCGTGAAGCCTCACACCTGCCTCTGACAGTGGAAGCTCTGACTGCGTGTTCATTCAGTCCTACCTTGCGCTGAGCTCTTCCTCTCATGGTCTCCGCCAGCCTGAGCCCTGCCGCCGTTACTCGGAGGATTCAAGCACCGCGCGCTGCAAGTTCTCGGCTCGTTTAGAGCTTCCGGTTCAGAGCGCGTTTGAAAGGGAAAACATTAAAACCGTCCAATCAAATTGCTCCCTTCACAAACGACAGGCTCAACTGCCCCGCCCCGGAGGTCCCGGATGAAGGCGGCTGCAGGGCTGCCGTTTTTTGTTTTAACAAAAACTTGGCGCAGCAAATCTTCAGACTCAGCAGCGCTACAAAGAGACACGAGCAGAAAGCAAAGGACCAGCAGTACATGGTGACAAGAATCCAATTACATATATTGAAATAATATTTCAAAAAAGTAAATTACAAAACAAAATTAGAGGAAATGTGCGGTTGGCTTAACATTTTTGGACATTTTATGAATTTCAAGGGCGAGTTTTTAAATAACGGAATTTGTGTATAAAAAATGACCACAGATTATTCTAACATTTAATTTAAAGGTCGATATTCTGGTTTTGCTGTGAAACAACCAATCAGTGTCTTTAGATGAAGCCAAACAACAGTGCAGCTGCATCTGCGTTACAGAA